GGCTGGTTTTCTGGGGTGCTTTGGGGCTCTGGTCTTCGGTTCTGGGCGCTGCGCAGACAGACATAAGGTGTATAGGGGTTTCGGGGCTTCGTAAACTTCAGGGGTTTCGAGGTTTTTAGGAGTTTAGGAGGTTTTTAGGAGTTTGGGGGTTTCGGGGTTTACGAGTTTATAGGGGCTATTGATAGGGGTTTCGGGGTTTAGGGTTTAAGGCCTAGTTTGTGAACGATTTCAGAATTCCGGGCATTTGGTGATGCATGCTGGCGCGAGAGTCAGAGAGCTTTCTCTCCAAGGAAGTTCATTGTGGTTGTGCACAAGAACACGCATCGCTATCTTGTGCCAAGCCACATATAGGGGCCTTCATAGTTAGAATAGGGTTTTGGGCTAATCACAATAAGGAACTCCCTTGGTAATTAGCTAGGCCCGTACCGGACGTCTGCAGCAAATGTGCGATCCTCTCCTCCAGGTCTGAGAGCCACCAACCCAGAGAGCCCAATACCCCTTAAATAAGGAATATGCCTTAAATTATAGGGGCCTTAATGCTATGATTTAAGGTATATTCCTTGCTGAAGTGGTATTGGGCGATCTGGAAAGCTCTGCAGCTGATACAAAGTTGCTGAAAGGTGCCCATTTCGAGGTTCACACGGAGCAACGAACGTGGGAGCACTTTCCATCGCCGGTTGTCCTCGAGGCGGAGGCAAAACATAGTAGTAGAAACAGCCTCAGGAGCCGTGGTTCACAACCAAGGCCTCTGCTGCTGCTTCTACTACTACGGGCCTCGTGAATGTTCACAGGCTCAGCGTGATCCGGGCTTTTCAAGAAGCCGTGGAACGCCAGACGCCCTTCCGGAGTGCTGTCTCGTGTCATTGTTTCGTTGACCATCACCGTCAGCTTGCGGATCATTTCCAGACTATCGGCCGGCTACCACGCGTTTGAGCTCAACCTATAGATCGGGAACGTTCTGCCGATTGCCATGGAACTACTGTCACGGCCCAATATGAACAGGACGGCACCTTGCCGGGGCTGAGAAATCCGGTTGGTGCTAACAGGCAAGCATTCGAAGGCAAGGCTGCAACTGGATCGAGCGATCAAAAGCTTTTCAGCCCGTCGCATGCGTTCGAGTGCGCCAGGCTGTATGCCCTTCCGAGCAAGGAAATCTGTAAGATGTTCAACGGGTGTTTTGCAGTTCTCCTCCGCAAATGTTCGTTGACAGAACCGGCACTTCGCTGCACCTGGGTCACTGCTGGGCTAGTAACGGAGGTAGTATACGGTATACAGGATTAGCTTGCAAATACGCTATGTGCTGGGTTTAGGTGCTAGTCTAGTAATCATCATGGATGTGACGCAGGGAATCTACTGCTAGTTGCTAGTAATTGTCCCAACACGACATACAACATGTACAGACACCAACACTCAAAACGAGCGGAATCTGTTCTATAGACTTTCACACAAGTCGGCCACTGAGCCTGCTTCACCTACTATGCACCAAATATTGAATACCGCATACCCAGATACACATAATCCGAATTTTCCCGAGGCACCACTGAAGACCCACGTACGACAAACAAAAACAAACGGCTCTGTTGTCCGTGCCCTTCTGTGCACCTCCAGCAATGGCAGCACTCGCACGTTGGATTGCCGCAGGCCAAGCATCGTCATCGTCGTCCATGGCTAACATTTAGGGTTTAGGGTTCAGGGTTTAGGGTTCTTAAGGTCAATACGAACACCTGTAAACAAGCAGCGAAGGTCACATTCAGAGGGCATAAGTGCAGCCTTGGTGGTACGATTGCCGTGGAAAAACCACAAGAGTTGCCATTTGCGTCGGCACCAGCGTATGCATCCTGCAACTATGCCGTCGTTGCAACGACGCCTTGGTTTGTATGGCTTCAGCGTCAAGGATGCAGGCATGCGAAGCCTAAGGGTCCATGTACCCAAATAGTAGATACATTGGCCTTAATGTAGTCCCTATATAGGTACTTTAGGGCCAATGTATATACTATTTGGGTACATGGACCCTTAGGGGAAGCCAATGCATCACCCGAGACTCTGAATCAAGAAGCCTACGAGCACCTTGGATGCAAGGCACCAAGCACGGATCCTCAACCCCAGAACCCGAAAGCCCACAAGAATCCAAACCCTCAATCAAGCCAGAACCTCCTATACTAACTACCCACACACACACACACACGGACACAAAGGCATACGCAGACACAAATAGACAAACACCGACACAAAGACAGACACACACACACACAC